ATGTATCATTTGGGGCTCGTAGTCTTTTGAAATTATTGAGTGGAGACCTTATCAACAACTTACTCTCATAAAGTCTTTCTTATGAAAACGAGCCCTACTAGCTACCATCGAGACTTACCTCTCGGGATCATCTTTCAAGGGTGTGGGTGGAGAACTTATCTGCCACTTGCCCTCAAGGGACTATTCTAGTGAGGATGTATCCTCTACTACCTTCTCATCGAGATTTGTCTCATAAGCTCACCTTCCAAGGGTATGAGTGGAAACGTTCTCTGTAAGTTGCCCTCAACGAATCGTTTAGTGAGCAATGTATCAACCACTAGCTTCCCATCAAGATTGGTCTCATGGGTGTGTTTCAAAGGTAAGAGTGGTTATCTTGTCTGCACTTGTCCTTAACGGGTCTTTTTAGTGAGGAATACATCCATTATTGGCTTCCCATTTAGACTAGCCTCCTAGGCTCGTCTTCTGGGGGTATGAGTGGAGACTATGTTTGCTAATAAGAATGTATGACCTTTCCAAGGTTGTTTAATCGGACCAAATCCACTCAAAGACCATAGACTATGGTAGAAGAAGTTGATTGTAATCCACATAAGATGTTAGACCTGTGATAAGTCATATAGTTAGAGATAGCTTACATCGTTAATTTGTCATGGACAAAGTCGTATGAAATCCACTAAGACATTTTGACCTTTTCAAGGCTGTTAGTTGAACATTTTGTTTGATGATTGTAGCCTCTTATGAAATAGGTCGAATCGAGTTCCCCTAGAATCGATTACGTCCAGAATGAGGTGTCAAAGATGCTTTGTATTTCTTGAGCCTATGGTGTAAGTCGAGATGGACTGTAATTTTTCTTGGAGATATAGTTGCCTTCTTTGTTGTTGTTGAATTTATTGTCCCCAATGGGGGTGTTGTCCACACAAGCCTGTAAAACAATCCATGTATCAAATCTTGAAGAGATTAACTTCTTGATCAAGTTATGGAAGAACTCTAGCATGGTGCGAGAGGGGGAAGGGGGAGGGGGATCTTCATAGAATTTGTGTATAAATATGTAGGAACATTGCCTCATCACATCGTGTTGGGGATGTTAACGTGAATGACTTTTCGAGATTATGGTGATGGTTGCCCCCACATAGAAGAGTGCAAAAAAATAGGGGCTCAACATCTCAAAATTTAATATTATGTTGAATGTGGTTTCCTTTTTCACAGACAATGCCAAAAGATGTGTGCCAGAAGATCCGAGACAGTAGAGTAATAAATTAGTGTCTCAACATATTCGAGATCCAACACACATACAGATAAAAGAAAATTAGCGGGAGGAGACACCACAACTTTTATGTAGAAAATTATATAAAAGGGGAAAAAATCATAGGGCGTGAATCAGTCAAAGTAATCCACTAAAGAATTGTAAGTACATAATCCCACTCTCTTATTGGATTAGAAAAGATTGAATTATAATGTTGAGGTACAACAATGGTTCACAATAATAGTCATAACGAGTTGTGAATGCCATATTCAATTGCTATGGAGGTAGTAGTCTTCGTGAATGTTGTAGATGGTGGTTGTAGTGCTAGTTTGTCGTAGAGGCTATAATTGAAAGTTATTATAGTAGTTGGTTATGTATGCAATAGGTGCTAGCTTCATAAGTATCAGTTGGCCAGAACGACCATAATAGAGAGCTGTGATGGTGCTCGTAAGTCACAGAAGCTAGAGTTGGGAGCTACATGAGTTGTGAGTCACATAGGTCGTAGTATTTCACATATGTCATAACAGTGAACTATAATAGCATCAGTAGGTTACAAAGGTTGAAGTTGGGAGCTATATGAGCTGTGAGCCACATAGGCCGTCGTTGTTCATATGGTTGTCATGGTGACTTGTGCTAATGTATGTTGGTTGTAGAGTCAAGAGTTAGAAGTTGCATGAGTTGTGGACCACGTAGGTCGTAGCTAGTCAAATAGGTCGTATGGTGAAGTTATATTCATCTCTATAAGTCGCAGAGGCCTGAGTTGGGACCTACATGTATTGTGGAGCACGTAAATTGTAGTTGGTCACATAAGCCATAATGGTGAGCTGTAATAATGTCTATAGGTCGCAGAGACCGGAGTTGAGAGTTGCATTAGTTGTGGACCATGTAGGTTGTAGTTGGTCATATAGGACAGTGATATAATGTTCGCAGGCCCCATAGGCTAGAGTTGGGAGCTGCATAAGCTATGAGCTATGTAGGCCTAGTTCACATAAGCTATAGCAAGGAGTTATGTCTGTAGGCCATAAAGGACAAAGTTGGGAACTACAAAAGCTATAGCCACTTAGGTCATAGTTGGTCACGTAGATCGTAACTGTGAGATGTAGTAATGTCCTTAGGACGCAAAAGCCAGAGTTATGAGCTGCATGAGTTGTGAATCACATTGGTCATGGTGGTGAGCGGTAGTAACGTCAATTGGCTTTCAAGGTCGTAGTAAGGGGTTGTAGTTGTAATGAATCACATATGTCCTCAATAGTGGTGTAAACGAGCCGAGAAAGTTTTTTCATATTCAGCTCATTTGCTTAGCGAGCAGAATACTAGTTGTTTGTGAACATCAAGTCGTTTTGACATCCCTAGTTACATAAGGGTCTGGGTGGGATTTACACCTTATTATTTATATCATAATACTCTTTGAAATAGAATTTAATATATTTTTATTGCTCGATATATATATATATATATGGTCCCAAAATGAGCCGAACACAAACTAACAAGTCTTTGTTCATGTTTGACTCGTTTGCTTATCGAACAAATTGAATACGGGCTGTTTGCGAGCAATGAGTTGTTTTGATGACCTTAGTCGTAGGCCATAGTAGGGAGCTATGAGTAGAGAACTTCAAGAATTTGGAGAAACTCCTGTATTATGAGTATGGAGAAACTCCTGTATATATACCTCATATTGTGAGGAGTTACACTGTCTTTTGGGTACGTCGTTACTCTTTTGGGGTTATGTGGAATTCAAGATACATTGTTACACTGTTTTCGTGGTGCATTGTTACACCATCTTCGGATTGCGTTGTTGCATCGTCTTCGGGTGCATCATTACACTATCATCGAAGCGCTACTCATCATCTTTGGGATGCGTCGTTACATTGTCTTTGAGGTGCATTGTTGCACCATAGAATTCATCGACAACTGTGAGCAGGGGGTTTCGACGAATGGTGATCGACTGTGGTCGGTGGTTGCTAGAGCAGGAAATGTTTGTAAATGTATTCAGTGCCAAAGTACATTGGAATTCAACTACTCCTTTTGGTTTCGCTGTTGCTCTAGGTTTCCTTTCTCGATCATCATGAATGAGGTATGACACTATTTGTGGAGTCTGAGAATGCTTCTCCTGCAAATAAGAAAAAGTTCTAGACACTCCATCAGACGACCCACAAAGATTCCTATGATCATACGACATTTTGTGGACATTCAAGTGCCTTAATGATGTCGAAATTGAGTGACATTGGGCTTGTTGGTTGTGTTTCATCGAGACACTCGATTTCACCATAAGTCTGTCAAATTGGGAATCTATTTGATCCTCCCAATTAGCCACCAAAGCTTCCAAATATGGTTTAATGACTTTTGACTCGCATTATACCAATTTCAGTGTCACTGTGTTCAGACTTGCTTGATTTAACTCGCATTATACCAATTTCAGTGTCACTGTGTTCATCTTATCGAGCCAGCCAATTTGATTGTACTTTTGTTGAAATCAAAGTTGTGAATTATATTTAATTTGAGTTTCAAAAAATTCCTTGAGATTTGTGATAATCGTCGTGAAATTCATGTCAAGTGATATTAAAGATTGGAGCGCAATATGCTTAAATATAAAAATTTAAGTGTGAGATGTATAAATGCATTAGAATTGTGTGCTACATATGTAAACGCCCCCTGTAATTATTATAATTTACAGATTTAATTTCAAATTTCCCAAACAAGAAGATTTAATTTTAAAGCTTCCTAAAATGTCTATAAATTTTTTTTTCCTATAATCACTTCGAAAACTTAATGGCTTAGCATTAAAGAGGCCTCAATTTTGAAATGCTTTTAGCATAAACCTGACAATATTGGCTTTATTTATTTCATTATAAAGATGCGCAATAAAGTTAGAAGTCATATACTCTTCGAGCTGGTTGATATATTTAGGATACGATTATGAAGCTGCAAGAGATCAGCATTTATATTTCTCCAGACAATAATTTAGGGGATATTTGAGATCACTTCACTTATAGTTTTTTATTTTATTTTATTTATATATTTAAATAAAATGAAATATATTTGATATATTATAACCTATTTATTTATTTTTAAAAAATTTAAAATAACTTTTTAATTATTTTTGAGTATTTTTTTTAAAAATAAAAACATAAGTTCTCAGCTACTATACATTACCTGATCAGCAAAAGCAAAATAGAGTAGTCATTTTTTTTAAGGGGTTTAAAAATTATGCGTTTGATTGAAAGAGAAACAATGCCATTTAAAATTCCAATAAATTATATTTGAAATTCACTAGATTTTAGCAAATTCCAAACCCTATTTTGTGTAAAATAACACCATCGCTCGCTATAGCTACCGTCGGCTGCCCCTGACCTTTTGCCACCTCTGCTGGCCTCACATCGCTGCCAGCCGCCACCATCATAGTTGGTTGCCGCCCGCTGCCCGTTATCACCACCACCATGGAGTTTACTGCGTTTATTTTATATTGAATTTATTTCTTTCAAACCCAAAAAAAAAAAAATACAGTTCTACATTTATTTTACATCGAACCAAACAACTCTAATTTCAAATACAATATATTACTTTAAAACAACATTTCCTTTGCAGCAAACCGAAGAAACCTTAAGCTAATATAATCAAATAAACGAAATATAGTAAATTTCTTCAGATAACCTCATAAAATTCTGTACATAGCTGCTGGTATTCTCATGAATGGAAGGAAGTCTACACAGAATAGGCACACAGATCCTCCTAAGCGCAGCAGTAATATAACTCAGAAACAAGTCACTAAACACACATATAGTAAATTATAACGAAATGAAAGTCGAATAATTATTAATATGGACAAAAATTGTAAATCAAAATGAGACTGCCTTCATGATAAGACACACACTCGACGATAAAAAATCACTACATGAATGAAAAGTGGAGCAGGAGCAAGAGGAGATCAGTAACAGTGAGAGTATACGTGATAGGCAAACCTGGGCTTTAAAGAGAGAATGGCTTCATGTAAACATCGAACATTTCGCATGAAGTTAACTGGGGTTCCTGCAAGACAAAAATATGCCTATTAGTTCAAAAGGATCAACAGATATAGTACATCGAAAGAAGTTGGTAAATAAAGCCTTTTTTTTGTTTGGATAATTGCATACACAACATGTGAAACTTTGCTATTTACAAAACTAGCACTCAGGTGATTTTCCTTTTTTTTTTTATTTTTTGAACTGCTGAACTGAAGGATTCACGTGTCATGATCAAATCATAGAGAATTTAATAAAATTGAAAAATATGGGGTTGGGATTTTATCATGAATTTTAATATTTGAATGAGAATTTGAAGAATGGATGACAGAGGGTGCTAGATTTGTAAATAGCAATGTTTTTTTCCCCTTTCTGAGAGATTTAAATGTCTACCCCTTCAAGAGGGAGAAAAATCTAGTTTATGCTCGTTGTTAACTTGAAATGGCAAGTAGAATGAAAATGAGATTATTAATAGTCTTGGATTAAAATAGCCAAAAAAAAGCTTATAGATAAGTGAATTAGGGCACTTGATAATACTCATTAATATTTTATATTTGATTATTCACCTAACTGAATGAAGTTCGACCAAAAAAATAAAATCTCATCATATATATATACAAGCTTGAACAATGAAAGCTTCCTCATTTTGTTCGTGAACAAGCTTGTTCATTGCTTAATAAACAAAACTCGATAAATACTCGTTTAATGATGACTTAACGAGCACGCACACACGCACATGCACACGCACACGCACGCACGCACACGCGCGCACACACACACACACACACTCGTAACCAGATCATCAGATAACCATCTAAGATTATGCTGAATTTAATAACAGGGGCAAAAAATCAAGTAAAACAACATTTAAGGGATGAAACTCGCACTCGATTGCATCTCGTGATCATTTTTCCCTGTGGAATGTAGCAGAATCAAGGGATCCTCTGAATTTCACACTATCATGGACATTCCGCATCAGGATCTCGACATCCTATAAACCTGACAGTCCTATATCATTCTCCCACGCTAGGAGATGCCTCTTCTTTCTATGCTTATGAAATCGATCTATCACCAAAATAAAGTCATTGCATCATTGTGTCTATGGCAGTCTCACTGTAAATTTATGCTTGCGTGCATTTCAGGCAACTCCAAAACACATATTTCCTTCCAAAGCCTATCCTGATAGAATAAATGTCCATTTTTTAGCAAAACTAGAGCCAAATTTTCTTATAGAGGGATATTCTCATGATCAAAGTCTCAAACCATTAATATGTAACATACTTATCCCACTTCTCGTACTCGGCAAGGCACATTCAATAAACAAGTCTATTTGCAGAAATTAGCTCTGGAATGAAATTTGTGACACGCTGAAACACTCTTAGTGGTAACCACCCAAGAGGTAAATTATCGATCAGAATCCAACGACTCCTTCAACAAGAGCTACCCCTTTTTCGGTATTGGCTCCTATGACACATTATCTTCTAGGACAACCAAAATCTTGTTGGAGTTTCTCTCATGGCTCATCTTGAAATACTAGTATCTCTCCCTTATCAGCTAGAGATTGGTACCCCCCCTTTTGTGCACTCACCTTCTTTAGTGTCACCCGTATCATTGTCCATTTCTTCAACTGTTCTATGTTTAGTGAAAGAAATTGCCCTACTGTCTGGGAAATCAGACACATCGCGTCCAAAATCATGGCACTTGAACCATTTCTAACTGGAACGAATATAGGAGCATTGGTTAGCTCCACCTGTTCTCCACTATGAACAAATTTCTCCTCAAGCGGGCTCGACTTGGAAGCTCCGCTAGGTGTACGTTTGCTACTTGATTTTGAGGTTTAACTCTGCCTGTAAGACATGACAGTCACCCTGTGATGTTCTTTCTCCACCTTCAAATTTATAGTAAATATATCAAGTAAGGACCAATATGCAACTGCACCTTAATAGACGAACTCAATCCTCCAAGGTATCTTGCTATTGTGTGCTCCTCTGGTTCCACCAACTGACATTTCAGCATGAGTTGATCAAATTCAATTGTGTATTTTCGCACAAAAGAATCTCTCTAGCATAGATGGAGATTAATGAACATATCCTATCGGCAATGTGGGAAAAAATAATTGTGCTGCACATCGCTTTTCATATTAGAATATATCGTAATTTTACTCTTCTCTTCCTACAGAGAAAGATAATTCAGATTCTCCCACCACAAAGATGCACAACACTTAAACTTATGGGCAGTTGGCTTGCCCTTCTGTCCAGTAGAGCATTCTTATACTCAAAAAATTATTTTACTAGGAATCACTAGATAAATTCGTCTGGATCCATATAATCGTCAAATTCTTGCAAGTTAATTTTCACTCCAAAAACTTGACTCCTCTAATATTACGTTCCAAATTGTCAGGATATTGAATCTTTGTAACTGAAAATTTTCTAGTGGAGGGGATTCACTTTCCCCTCCCAATCCGATGAGTCACCATAGTGGCAATAAGTGATGCCATCGAAATGTTTTCTCTTAAAGGCAACCTATATTACAGTTGGAGAATTTCCAGTTGTATATCCTCCATAGTAAGTTCCTAGACATCTCATTGAGACTTTTTTCTTAGCAGCATGAAGTCTTTTCCTTCTGATCAGGTTTTCCGCGAATGTAGAATTGCAAATCAATGTTTGTCGAAGGCTTAGGTTTTAATGATAGGTGAATATTTTGTGGTAAAAAATTTGAATTTTGAAAATTTAAGGTCAGAGTTAGGAAATGCGGTAGGAATGAATTGGGTAAGGAGAAAATTATTCTTTTTAGAAAATTTGGATTAGGAAAAGAAAAACAAAACCCTGAAAAATGTACAGATTGTTGCGCTCTGATACCAGATTATACCTTTCTAGGGTTCCTAGAAGGTATTTAGGAAGAGGGTTTGGTGGAGAGGTGACTGTGGAATAACATGAATGTAGAAATATGAAGTACTAACGATGTTTGGATGGGGATAGGAGCTGAAATCTTTACTTGGACAGCAAATCCAGTGCATTTTTAGACTTCCCGGCTGAAAACAGTGTCTCGAACAAGGAAACAACGAAATACGAGCTGCAAAAATATTCCACCACCTATTCTTGAGCAAAATTGCACCACTTGTAAAAGGAAAATGATATAACACTCAATTAAGTTAGAAATCAAGATACAACCTCTAACACACAAAACAAATCAAAAGCCCTCAAAAAAAAAAAACCCACACATAAATAGTCTCCACAGTAGAAAAAAATCCTAAGTAGAAAGAAAGGAATAGGAAATAATGCTAAAGGAAAATGATTATGTTGAAATCAATAACGAGGCAAAAATTTCCATAAAATGGCATTCACAAGACGAAACTTGTGCCCGATCGTATCCCGTGATTGCATTTCCCTATTTGGAATGTAGTGGAATCACGGAATCCCACAATTTTTCACTATCGTGGACTTCCTGCAACTAGGATTGTGACATCGTGTAAACCCCACAATCCCACGTCAAACAGGATCATCAAAATAGCAATCCTCATAAACTAACACAAAAGAGGGTCAAGTTTTTGAACCGATGGCTGAGACACAACCATATGAACTTGCATAAGTTTTTGAGCCTTTAGAGATTCAGAAACTGGTGTATAATATTATATGTCACAAGTGAAAAGGGCCTTGTATATGAATGGCTATATGCATAACCATGATAAAATCAATATTGATAATGATATTCATATTATTCATGAGACATGAATGCTGATATAGATCAAATGTATTGACAAGTGGTGTAAACGAGTCCAGTCAAGCTCGAATCACCCTCGGCTTGAGCTTGAGCTTGATTAATATTATTGAGTTTGAGCTTGAGCTTCAGCTTAAGTCTATAAATTTGAGCCAACTCATGAACCAACTTATTTATTATAAAAGAGAGAAAATAATATTAATTTAGGGTAATATTATAATAAATGATAAATAAAATGAGCAATTAGGAGAGAAATAACAAGAAATCACTTAAGATAAAATACAAAATATTTTTTTAAATATAATAAAGTCTTCAAATTTAATATATTTTGAGTATAATTTATATAAATATTTTTTCAAACGAGCCGGCTCACGAACTAACAAGTCGAGTAGTAGCTAGCTTTAACTTAGCTTTTTAGCTCATTAAGCTTAGTTCCCGAGCCACTTATCGAGCAGAGCTCTAACCGGCTCACGAGTCAGATTAACTCACTTACACGCCTAACATTAATTCCTCAAAAATGATTCATCACATCTATGAGAGTGAAAAAGATGATAATCTCAATTTAGATATGAACCATTTGTAATTATCATAAGAATAAGAACCACAATCATATGTGCAATCATGAGTCAAATACATTACAATGATTTGATCCCTTAACTATCTCATCTTTTACTTTTAGGCAATAGTACTACCATTCATTAGCACATACTTTTCCGAATATCACTTAGTATGAGATTGTTTCACTGCAAATGTCCTAGAGTGATTGGATCTCATTTCCATGTGTGTTAAAGTGTCTTTTGGTTGAATGAATGCAACAAAGTTCCCATTCCTAAAACCTATGTTAAAAAGGAAAAAAGTGAGTTCCAATCTTGAGACATAGGAAGTAAATTTTAGTTTTGCTTTTTTGCTTTCATAACAACAAAATAATATTAAATTAACATAATGATGGATTAAAACATTAACTTTATTTTAAATAATGAGAAGGTAATAAAATATCAATATAATGTGGATACAAATGAAGCTCATTATAGTTCAAACAAACACAAAACCAAGTTTACAGTAAACGAGTTCCTGCAAAGCAAATACATATCATTGCAACTCACTTTCAAAATAGAGCTCAAATCCAAACACTTGAAGTGAAATAAATTCCTTAGCATAGTATATATGATTTGTGAGGTCTATTCATACTCATTAGGAGCATATTTATCAACCAAATCTAAACTCTATTTATAGTACTATCTTGAACTTGAATGCTTAAGAGATTGTTTATGTCTGGAAGCCGCACAAGTCACTTCAATGTGATTCGCCATCAAAATTCAGATCCAAATGCTTGAAGTGAAATAATTTTCTTGAATAATGTATGTAGTTTGTGAGTCCAATTCATACTCAAAAGGAAGAGATTAATCAACAAAATTTAAACCGTATAAATAATATTATTCTGAACTGAATACTTTTTAAGATTGATTATGTCTGGAAGCTGCCAAACTCACTTCAATGTGACTCACTATCCAAATTGATCCAAAAAACTTAAAATGAAACATTTTTTTTAGAACCACACACACACACACACACATATATATATATATGTGTGTGTGTGTGTGTGTGTGTGTGTGTGTGTGTGTGTGGTTCTAAAAAAAATGTTTCATTTTAAGTTTTATGTATGTATATATATATATGTATGTATGTATATATATATATGTATGTATGTATATATATATATGTATGTATGTATGTATGTATGTATGTTCTTTTTATTAATCCAATTTTGTCCTGTGAATCACACCCAATGAATCATTTGGGCCATGACGGAGAGTGAGCAACAAGACTTGTAGACAGCCAAATCTCTTCAAGGTCAACGCAGCACTTTTTTGTTATACAACATATATATAAATATATATATATATATATATATATATATATATATATATATATATGATTTGTGAGTCCTATTCCTACTCATAAGGAGCATATTTATGAAGAATGATGAAACATAATAAATTTAAGATGATGACTTCAAAATGAGTTATGTTTGTGGTGGCAGCTTCTAGACATAATCTTTGCATCATAAGCATGTATTTTCAACTTTAAAGGTGTCATGGTTAGTTTAAGGCTAAGGATATTGGTTTTGGTGAATTTATATTGTTTGAGTTTAGGGTTATGGCTAGCGTTTTGATGTAATTACTTTAAAAGAAATTGGGCTCTTATACCAATTGATGCAAAAAGAGAATAACTTCATGGCAATTTGGTGGAGTGCTTCAAGGTTATTTTCTTGATCTTTCTTTTCTTAATATTCTTTGAATTTGCTTTTGAATTAGTAATATTCAATTTCTCTTAAATTCAACTATGGGATGTGAAACGAATTGGGGAGATTTTAAGAGACAGATGAGAAGAATGGGATTAATTTCTTGAAAAAACAAAAAAAAAATCTAAAGAGAGGAGTTTCTTCCATGGGAGAGAGGAGTCTCAAGAATTGTGCATGAGCTGACAAAGAAGACAATAATTTGAATATTAATAAAGATCACATATATAAGAGAGAAACCCATAGTGAGAAAGAGTAAAGGAGGGAAAATTTTTGAAATTTTATTCATAATTGTGTTATTCAATTACAGGCAATAAAAAAATTATTTATAAAAATAATATTGTATTTGAAATTAACTAAGCTGAAATCTATTACTATTTACCAGGCAAGTCCCAAAAAATCTTATCCATTAATCTAAAAGAAAGATAATCATGATTTTTATTTAATAGAAAAGAACCCTAAAAATCCAAAAAATTAGAACAATCAAATATATTTTTGATAAATGTCCTTATTCAACTATGCTTTTGTTTATTGACATCTTATCAAGTTGTAAATTATGTGAATGCCGTCAATAAAAGGCATAGTACGCTATTTCAATTTGGCACTTACAAGTCATTTTTCATCAATATCACCAGACTCCAGCTCATCACTAAGATGGACATAAATGCATTTGAACTCCAATTGCATGGATTAGCATGTGTTTCATGTGGATTAAAATGACTAAAGTTTCACACAAGTCAACCCTAAATTTATTCGAACAACATATTAAACAACTAGAGAAGGGCGGACATTGATGAATAAAAAATTTACCTGTCTTAAGCCACCACTTAAACTACCTCCTGTAATCAGCATACTGAGAAGTGAAGTAACAGGGCCTCCGCCTAATGAATCGCCAGTGTTTCGAATGGTTGATCGCATCGAGTTAAGTATGGTTCCATAAGTGGACCCATGTCCCCTCTCAATGGCTTGGATGAAGCAGTATGTCATAGCTCCTGTTGAAGTGACCTTTGAAAGAGCCTATTGCATTCAAACAAATAAAAGTTATGAGACAGAAAGAAGCTGGAATAAAAGGGGGAAAATTTTAAAAATTGAGTATTTGTAAAATATTAAATAATAGGGTAAGTTTGTTAGTTGACTATTTTCGCAGATATAACACACTTTCTATACTCAATTGTGATCAACTCATTAACCACGACAACTCCTAGAAAAATTATCTTCCCTGGTCCTACAGACGCATGAGCATTCTGTTCGCCCCGGTCCCACAGAATGCTGTGGGATTTGTCCATTCCACGGAAGCTCAACAACCCAGCGAAATCATAGTTGCGATAGGCAGGATTCTCCCATTCGGCGATACATGGCTTCCGCAACTTGCGGTTTCCATGATTGCAGGAACCAGGTTGGGGTGTTTTTTTTAATTTTGGTATTTTCCTTCATCTTGTTATATTCCTGTTTTTAGTTTAAGTTCTACTCTTGATATTCCTATTAAAAATGGTTTCACTTCTTGTCATTGGAATGGTCATGACAAATACAATCATAAATTCATTTATAATTTGTATTTTGAATTCTTCTGTTGTGGATTGGAATAAGTATGTCTGGGTTAAAGGTTACTATCAAATATGCTATCAATACTTTAAAAATTTTACTTAATAGTCTCAAAGCTTATGGTGTCTTGATTGATAGAGATACAATGATTAACAATTCTAGTGTTTTATGCTCAGATCATAATGAGACTCACAATCATCTTTTCTTTCAATGTTATTTTGCCCATACTTTACTTAAAAGATGTATTCTTTATGGAAAATTTCTTCTTTTAAGTATTAATCTATTATACATTTTCTCTCAAGTGGATTCTTTTCTTCTAGCATTGATAAGATATTTTATTTACTGGTTGCTCATATTACTGCTTATGTTATTTGGAGGGAAAGGAATGAAAGAATTTTTAAAAATTCTTTTTCTACTATTGATAGAATGGCTTTTCACAACCTTGAGATTATTAAGTGGAAGAGTAGAAGGTGAAAGTTTAGAGATAATATCCCTTCATTTATTAAAGATTTTTAGTCTATTTGATTATTTTAGTTTGCTCTTGTTGTTTTAATTTTCTCTTTTCTTTTCTTTATCTTATTTTTGGATTTTTTTTTTTATTTCAATCATATTTTGTTTATCTATAAATTTAGATAAACATAATATTGGAGTTTAATTTTTCTTTTTTTTCTTTTGTTTGTTAGGTCTATGTTGAGATTGAAAGGCAAACATGATATTCTATTTGATATTTTCTCCTGTTTTCGGGTTGGCTTTGGTTCTGTTGGTTTTTGGCCTTATTTTTTCTTTGTTTTTGTGTTGTGTGGTTATGGTCTATTTGCTTCCTTGGTCTTCTTTGTGTTTCTCTTTGCATATGCTATTTTGGTATGTCAACACCTACCAGATAGGTTCTCTTCTCTTTTGATCATGCTGCATCTTTGATATGGCTGCTGCTGTTGTTTTGGTTCAGCAAATTGGAGGCTAAAGATGTTGTTGCTTTGGAGTAGGAGAAGGAAGTCTAGTTATATGTTCCTCAATGATGTTGTTGTTTTGGATATCTGGTTGTTGTTGTTGGCTGCTGCTACTACTAACAATTAGCACTCATCAACAACTCCATACTTTTGGTGCCTACCATTCACTCGCCTGTTGCCCAAATCACATTGGTTGGCTCTTAGCTATCCCCTTTAACTTATATTAATCGACTAACCATGACTGTCCATACCATTTTTTTTTTCTATAATTATTATTATTATTTTCATGCCAAGCTCTGCTTAATATGTGATGCTTTTCAATTCTGATAGGCTGTTGCTGCACACGACCAAGTTCTTGGAGATATCAAGTCCTACACTTGATAAAACTGTTAACTTCTAAAATGATGGAAAAAATTTCAGTGTCATTCCAGCTTTACAGGCATTTGCTGCACCTTGAACAGGGTGCTCACATCCCCATCAGTTTTCATGATTGTTTCCTCCTTGCCTACAAAGAGGCATTATTCGAATTGTTAAGCGCCTTGAGCGGAAATAGAATCTGCATTATAATCACCCTCTACCCTCACTTATATTCTTGTCCTATCCAATTAGAAGAATATATGAAAAATGGCACATGTTTTCTTCGAGAATAATTAAGAAAGCTTCCCTCTCACTTCTATGGGTGACGACGATGTCTCCCTCTTTGCACGTACTCCACTTCTTTCTCTCTCGATTTCTCCCCTAACAAGAAATAACGCAGCTTTACAACTCACCCTCCTCTCATCTATTCCGAGAACATCTCTCAATTCATCATGAACCTTCAACAAGTGAATGCTTCTCTTTCCATGTTTATATATTAGATTTTTCTTCTTTTTTTTTTCTACTGTTTTAAGACTTTATTATTTCTTTTATTTGCATTTTTAATCCCACAAAAATTTTTAGAAAAAAAATGAATATTAATAAAAAAAGGCAAGTACCATTCACTTGATATTAAAACTGTATGATAAATTAGTCCAGTAATTTACAAATCACTATAATTTGCATTTTATTTCACAAGCTTATGAATATATTAATCTGGCGTGTTATGATGAAAAAAATCACTAAAATTAAGAAATGCAATGAATCAAACTAAAATAAGGAAATTTGTGTTCGGTAAACTTTATTTAAAGAACAGTAGTACCAATTATGCTATATTTCTTACTGACATAGGAACATATCTTGTTTAAGACTACAGGCTTAATGAACCAATTATTTTCCTGAGTCAATGAAATAAGACAAAGGATTCTGTAACTCACTACTATTATTCATATTTTATGCAGGTTCATGTAATTGTTATGTCCAGGTTCTCTCAAAGCTTCATACTTAGAAAGTAAAAAAGAACTTACTGAAGTATCAGCAGACGTTTGATCATCATCACAGCCACTGAAGGAGATTGCTTCCCCGCCACTCGCACCTTTCCAGATGCCAGATCTTGGACGATGGTCTTCCCACACATATTGCCCGGTTCTAGATCAATACAAACAATATCCATAAGAACAGAAATTGCGTTTTAAACAATCATCAAGGGATGACTGTTTAATGTACCCAAGAAACAAATTTTAGCTAATTCAAAACAGTATGAAGTAAAGCAACTGAGAGTTGAAAACACAGTACAGGTGTGCTAATTTCAGAAAAATTAAGTTTTGACAGGTTTAGATTTAGACATGTGAAAGACGAAACAAACAAAAATATAGAGTACAATTTATTTTACAATATTTTTTTAATATCAAATAAATACATTAAAGTGCAGATTTTCTGCCTTAACTATAGATGTAATCATTCCCAATTTTGAATTTGCCAGTAAAGTTTCTCTTTTGTAGCTTATCTTCGTCTCAAAAAGACCTACTTGGTAAACCTAACATTAGTTGTGGAAGATCAACTAATATGGGTAGCATATATGAATGTAAAGCTCTAGATTGATTAAAACTGCCTCATAATATGTTAGACATATTTAGTTTTTTTTATATGCGAAACAGTTTAACAAGAATACTTCCTAGCATACTCCATGACAAAATTCGCATAAATTCACATAGTGCACCCCATTTACCGTTTACTCCCTATGCTTCACTTCCAATCGCTAAAAAATGGCCTTAAGCATGCATTAGTTGAAATATGGTAGTTGCTAAAATGACTAAGGGGGCATTGGCGAACCAAGAGCTTGGATGCCAAAGGTTGAATTATTCATGTGCAACTGATGAAATATATCAAAAAGAACACCTAGCAACAATTCAATAGCTTTAATTTGCACATTTAGTTGTTAGTTATAGTTAAAGTAAATGGCTAGTGAAAAGATCAATATAAACAGAAGAAAATAACTCTTTACACTTCAACAAACTTTATAGAATAAAGCAAAACGTAGAAATGGTCATTTTACCTGTTCATTCTACAAAGGAATGGAAGATCAAGGACCGTTCCACTATGACAAGCATCTATTATGGCATGAAGCCTAACACCATGAGGAAGCGGCCTAACAATAGTTGCATTTATCTCATCATCAACAATCATCCCCTGCGTCTCAAAGTCCAGAGGGCAAATGGTTTCATCATATCCATCAGCCTCATCTCCGTTAAAATTCCTCTGCTGTGATCCATGTCCTGAATAGTGAAATACCAAGGAGTCCCCTGGCTGACAACCCTGTACAAGCCAATACAACGCCATCCTTATGTTGTATTTGGTCGGAATTCTATAGGGATCGGTTTGTTCTTCTGCAAAATACTTACATGCAAAAGCAAACATTAATACAAAGCCATCGCGGAAACGACAAAAAAAAAATTAAAAAAGCTCAAAATGCAGGATTAGGGCACCTGTGAGCTCGATGATGGAGGACTCGGGGAAGTGGAATCGGTTGATGAGAAGATACTTCATGCAGTTGGCGTCGTTTATGCAACCCTTGAGCTCGTGCCGGGAGTATCGATACGAGATCCCGACGATCACCGCCTTCTTCCGGCCGTGAGGCGACGGCGGAACGACTGATTGCGGTGGTGGAGGGGGACGATGCGGCGACGGAGAGGAGGAAGGGTGGCTGCTGTTTGAAGGAGGAGGGATGCTGCGGGGATCGGCGACTTGGGTGACGGCACGGCACATGGCGCAGCGTATTGATTTAGCGCCTGGCGGGAGCTGCAGTGGAGTCCGGCAGCCGGAGCAGTCAATAAGCATCATCATGGCCGGAACTCGGTGGGGATCGACGCCGGCGAAGAGGAGAAGACGCCGATTTGTTGATGAGAAGATTCGATGATACGATCAGCTTTCGCGAGGAGGGTGGTAGTCCGACGCTGGGCGTCAGAGCAAGGCTTGACGAGTCGTTTTTATGATGATCCTGAGGAACGCGTCCAACCTGCCCGCATAGTAGCGGCAGAACATGGAGAAATTCATGGCTATTTTTTCACATTTAATATAAACCATAATATTTACATACGGACCACCTGAAACTTGTTATTTCAAAACAATCACTTTTTTCATACATTTTTCAAAATTCCTGGCTATCTTATCAATTTAAAATTTATCAGGTATTTTTTTCTAAAAATAGTGAACATAAATCATGAGGTAAGTTGCTTGAGCTAATAACCTTAAAATTAAAATCTTATTCTTTTGACTTTTCCACAGGCTATCTTAAAGATTTTTGTCAAACATAAGAAATAGTCAGCTACAATTCTAGAAGTATCACCGGGCTTCTAGATTTCTCTCTTACCATGAAAGATAATTGAATAACAATTTAAAATGCAGCTGCTCCTTCAAGGGTATGGTTATATCTCTTTCTGAAGGATTATTTGACGGCTTGAAATTTGTTGTATGTTAGAAAATTTATAATAGTGGAGCGAGAGAATTTGTCGTCTTAATTATGTATAAAGATCGAAATCTAAGAAGAAAAAAACCATCGAGCGAGCGTAATTAAAATTATTCATCCTTACAAACGAGAGTTCTAAAAATTTCATCCATCCCTTGAAGGAGAAATAATTTTACAAGAGTGTGAGATATTGATTTGATTTTCTTTGAAAATAATAAAGAGTGATGGAACATTAATGATGATTAGATAATAATATTGGTGATTGTTAGGTGACAGTGATTGATGATTGTGGCACTGATCAAGCGATGATGACTTGATGGTGATAATATGGTTGTCGGTAATGACAATGACAATTGAATAATGATGATCTTACAATAATAATGACCAAATGATAAATTATTATATTTTAAAATACATTTTAAGTTTATAATGAACTAATTGAAACCGTAATGATGATTTTCGTCAAACATATATTTCTTCATGGCAACATCATCATATTATACAGAAATGAAAGGCTTATAAAAATATGAGTTTGTTCTAAGGATTTAAATATTTTAAGTTTAATTGGAACTAATTGAAACCGTAATGATGATTTTTGTCAAACATATATTTCTTTATGACAACATCATCTTTCATCCTATTATACAAAAATGAAAGGCTTATAAAAATATGATTTTGTTCTAAGGATTTAAATATTTTAAGTTTAATTGTCGTTAGGGCAATTAACAAGAGCTTATTATTATTATTTTTTATTATATTCAGTTTAATAATTAGCTTGAATTCAATTTATTTTCCTAAGTTCATCTTAATGAGTCAAATATTTAATTTAACTATGTACATAACTTTGCTGAAAATTAAAATTTAATTTACATTTCTAAACATATTATTTAAAAGAGGCAATTATGTACGGACCGCCCAGAACTTGCTAACTATAAATCAACCGCGCCAATTTATCCATTTTTTAAAATCTCATTCAAATATTAAAATTCATGATAAAATCCCAACTCATATTTTACATTTTTAATACATTAGGTCAAAATTCACAGTTGATTAATTTGTAAATTTCAATGTTTCAAGTGATCCGTAAATAATTATCCCCAATCAACATCTCTTGGTAACACATAAATCAGTGTATGCATACAAACATGTGTAATATTATTGCACACCATTATATATATATATATATATAAATATATATAAATTGTTTTATGCTAAATGAGAGCAATCCTATATTTATGAGTCAATGGCATGATTCAGAGTGTGTTCGGGACAACTGCAGCTATTTGAAGAAGCTGTTATCAGAAAGTTATTTTTTGATAGCCGCCAAAATTTAATAAGTTAGGTTGAAAAAAGTAACTCTCTACTACAATAATTTCTAGAAATCAACAAAAAGATGGTTATCCAAATTTGAACTGTGGTAATGATCTAGAAAGCAAAATTTACATAAAACTATCCCAATCAGACCCTCCCCTCATGGTCTGTTCGGGGTACTGCACCAGCGACGTTGCTGTAAAAGAAATTATTTTTTAAAAAATTACAGCGACTATAAATTCATTTTGTTTTTAAGAAATCATATTATAATTTTCTTTCAGCCATCACATTCTAACAACTCTCATAAAAAAAATAAATTTTTACAACAAATGATTTTCAGAAAGAGCAAGAAGAAAATTACCCAAACAGAACTATCTAAAAATCAAAGGACGCAGAAAGCGACCGTCTCTTCAACCCAATTAAAAACTTCTCATTTATTAATCAAAACCCCGACGGCGGAAGATGTGTCGGCGGAGCAGGATTACCCACCCCACCATACCCCTCCTGCACCTCCATTCCACCGCCGTCAAATCCCCCAGACCCCTCCCCCCCCCCC